CAGCAGGGACCCGCCTCCCAGCAGCAGCAAATGAAAAGCAACAGAAACCAAATGGCACTCAAGAGAAGGGTTTTAGTAATTAGTATAAAAAGGTTTCCTATAAAAGAGAACTTTCATACCCAAAATGTCAAAAATGGCCAGGCACAGTGGCTCACACTTGTAATCCCAGCACCTTGGGAGCCCAAGGGGAGAGGATGGCTTGAGGCCAAGAGTTCAAGATCAGCTGAGCAAAATGGGAAGGCCCAATCTCTAGAAGAAAATTTTGAAAAAATTAGCAGGGTGTGGTGAGTGCATACCTATAGTCCTGGCTACTCAAGAGGCTGAGGCAAGAGGACTGCTTGAGCCCAGGAGTTCGATCGAGGCTGCAGTGAATTATAATCATGCCACCACACTCGAGCTTGGGCAACAGAGTGAAACCCAGTCTCCCAAACAAAGTCAAAAATGGCTTTAAAAATCTTGATTAGAATAATACTCAAAGAAAAAAAAAAGGTGTCAGTTAAGAAGCAACTCCTTAAATGTAAATCAGAAATAGTTTGCAACAGAGCCAAAGAAGCCATTATAAGCTGCTACATAAATAGGCATTTAATGATTTTCTCAATGTTACATTATTGATCTAAGAGGCCCTCTGTTTCCGCTGAAATGAATAAGTAATTTGTCTAAGATAACATTAATAGGGGCCAGGCACAGTGGCTCATGCCTGTAATCCCAGCACTTTGGGAGGCCGAGGAGGGCGGATCACGAGGTCAGGTGTTCGAGACCATCCTGTCTAACACGGTAAAACCCCGTTTCTACTAAAAATACAAAACAAAAATTAGCCGGGCATGGTGGCAGGCACTTGTAGTCCCAGCTACTCGGGAGGCTAAGGCAGGAGAATCGCTTGAACCTGGGAGGCGGAGGTTGCAGTGAGCTGAGATCGCGCCACTGCACTCCAGCCTGGGTGACAGAGCGAGACTTTGTCTCAAACAAAACAAAACAAAACAAAATTAACAGGATTTGCAGCACATCAGATACCCTGAGTCCTTCTTATCATTAGAATCACCATTATAAAGAACAAATTTCACATTGTCTTTCAGTGAAACATCTGCATAATTTTAGAAATCACAGCAAAAGAGCAGAGACATTAGTTACATCCATCACATGCAAAACGGCATTTCCGAGTCACAATACCATGAATATCATTTATGCAATTCAGTATTCAACATTTACTTACTAATGTCAGACACTACCACTTTATGCACTGAAAACGCAATGGTGACTGAGACATGGTACCTACTCTCAAAGAGTTTACAGTCTATCTGTGAAAACAATACAAAAAGGTATACAAGATGCTATGAAAGCACAGAGAATGAGGTCCAGTACCCTACAAAGAGAGCCAGAGACAACATCAAAGAGGCCGGGTGCAGTGGCTCATGCCTGTAATCCCAGAGCTTTCGGAGGCTGAGATGGGCGGATCACTTGAGGCCAGGAGTTCGAGACCAGCCTGGCCAACATAGCAAAACCCCATCTCTACAAAAAATACAAAAATTAGCCAGTGTGGTGGTGCATGCTTGTAATCCCAGCTATTTGGGAGGCTGAGTCACAAGAATTGCCTGAACCCAGGAGGTGGAGGCTGCAGTGAGCCGAGTTCATGCCACTCCACTCTTGCCTGGGCAAAAGAAGAGACCCCATCTGAAAAAAGGAAGAAGGGAAGGGAGAAAAGAGGAGGGGGCCAGATTCTGGTGGGAGGTGATGACTGCATAAAAGATTGGCTTCTTCTGGCAAAGGAAATGTTGTCAGAGGCACAACATGCTCAAACTGCCAAGTATTTTGTTAAGAGTTGCCTTTTGCATAAAAAAAGAGACTATAGCGGAAAATTAAACTTTACTAGCAAAGCTGCATGTATCAAGAGAACAGGGATCTACTTAACCTAGGAGGAAAAAAAGGTAAAATATCACAATTTCATCTTGGCCTATTCCCCATATCCCCTATTCAAACACACATTTATTTCCTCATGCTGCAGTGTGTGTCAGACATGAGAGAGGACTCAGGGCTGAACAAGAGGGACCCAACATTGCCCTCAGGAAGCCAACGCAAGGAGCAATCAGACAATAGAGCGCTTCTGTGGCTACACATGATTCTGAAATGTAGCTCCCTGATTAGAGTTACCATGGAATAAAATACTTAGCTTAAAAGCTACTGTTTTAAGAATCGTCCAGTAGTAAAGGAGAGCAACTGTTATTTGACATCAGATATGATGGTATACCAGGAATTTGAAAAGAAACTTTGACATCCCACACACATAAAAAAGGAATCATGCTTGAATTTTCAAATAAATGCTACTAACTCAGGTTTTACAGACTTCAAAGCACTCTTACACACTGTTCACAGCAAGGGAGGCCAAGCAGCTATTTTAATAATTACCTACCACTGGTCAAGCACTGATTGTGTAGTACGGGGCTCTTTGCTGGAAACTTAATATCCATGATCTCATTTCATCCTCACAACAATCATGCAAAGTAACTATTATCTCCCTCTTACAAACACGGAACCTGTGGCTTTTAGGGTTTACATAACCTGCCCAAAGACATGTGGCTGACAAGTGGTGGAGCCAAAGTTAGTCCCCGTGTCAGTCTGTGAAACTCCGTTTATCCCGCTGCACAGCTTCAATGTCACTGAATGTGGCCAGCAAAGGAGCTGAAGAGTATACAGTGAGCAGAGGAGGCTGGATTAGACTGCAGGTCAGGACTTTGAACTCAGTCTTCTTGCAGCCACGTTGAAGCCTCACTATAACTGTAACCTCAAGGTCCCCACTCCCACCCGAAGTTATCTTGAGCTTTCTAATAATTCAATCCCTCTGGATTCTCTCTAAACCATCTTTCTAAGGATGGTGGGGAAATGGATCACAGAAAAAATCTCTATGCAAAAATTAAAATATTTAACAAGCCACATCACACCCTGCATCCACCACTATCCCTGGTGTCTGATGCTCCTGAAGTACATTCCGCACTGAAATCTGCTATTAAAGAGCCATAATAAAAGCTCAAAACCATGCCAAGGTTCATTTACTCAATCTCATGGAATCCTCACAATAACACTAAAGTCCATACTATTATGCTCAGTTTACACAGATAAGCAGAAGTTCATCAACGTTAAATAAGGCACCCAAGGTCACACAACTGTAAGTGATGTTGCAGTATGATTCCAAAAGCCTAAGCTTTTCCCCTCTACAACACGGCCTGGATTCCTGCGATAGTCAGATAGTGAAAGAAAAATACCAAAATACTGTGATCTGAATTTGTATATCTGCAGAAATTTTCATATATAATTACTCAACAGTTCTATCAGAATTATATAGTTTTACCGTGCGGCATTTTGTTAAAGTAAAAAACAAACATATCACTTAAATTTTTCACATCTTTTACATTATCAAAGCAGCATGGTACTTGAAATTTGTTTGAATATGTAGCTTAACAATACATATTTTCTTTTTTTTGAGACAGAGTCTCGCTCTGTCGCCCAGGCTAGACTGCAGTGGCACGATCTCGGCTCACTGCAAGCTCCGTTTCCCAGGTTCACACCATTCTCCTGCCTCAGCCTCCCGAGTAGCTGGGACTACAGGTGCCCGCCACCACACCTGGCTAATTTTTTTTTGTATTTTTTTTTTTTTTAGTAGAGACGAGGTTTCACCGTGTTAGCCAGGATGGTCTTGATCTTCTGACCTCGTGATCCGCCCGCCTCGGCCTCCCAAAGTGCTGGGATTACAGGCATAAGCCACCGCGCCCGGCCAACAATACACACTTTCATCAATATTTTATTCAAAAACTTTCCATCTTAAGAAAACAAAACATTTAATTGATGGTTAATATCAAAATTATTTAGGATCCTACAAGAAACAGGGTGCCCCATCTTTTTAGAACTCTTTTATTTATTTATTTATTTGTTTGTTTGTTTGTTTTTATTGAGACAGGGCCTCACTCTGTCGCCCAGGCTAGAGTGCAGTAGGCATGGATGTTGGCTCACTGCAACCTCCAACTCCTAGGTTCAAGCAATTCTCCTGCCTCAGCCTTCCAAGTAGCTGGGATTACAGGTGCACGCCACCACGCCCAGCTAATTTTTGCATATTTAGTAGAGATGGGGTTTCACCTTATTTGCCAGGCTGGTCTCGAACTCCTGACCTCAGATGATCCGCCTGCCTCGGCCTCCCCAAGTGCTGGGATTACAAGCGAGAGCCACCGTGCCCAGCCTAGAACCATATTTTAAAAGCAAACAAAATATTCAGTTTATTTGTTTGTAAAACAAGGCTGGGCATAGTGGCTCATGCCTGTAATCCCAGCACTGTGAAAGGCTGAGGTGGGTGGATCATCTGAGGTCAGGGGTTCAAGATCAAACTGGCCAACATTGTGAAACTCCGTCTCTACTAAACATACAAAAATTAGCCAGGTGTCATGTTGCACACCTGTAATCCCAGCTACTCGGGAGGCTGAGGCAGGAGAAGTTCTTGAACCCAAGAAAAAGAGTTTGCAGTGAGCCAAGATTGCGCCACTGCACTCCAGCCTAGGCAACAGAGCGAGACTCTGTCTCAAACAACAACAACAACAACAAAAACAAGTATTTGATACGAGTTTAATGGAGTGAATAAATCTCAAATATGTATAAACAAATGGGGGAAGTACAGAGATGAACAGGTCAATGTAAGTATTAATTTACTATAGGTACTTCTCATTCTCAGAGTAAATCTGCAACTCACTTTAGAAAAAGTGCAACGAGAACGAGAAAGGAACAGAATGGAGGTAAATAAAAATATATACTATGTAGTGTACCTAATGAATCAAAAGATTTGTCTTATTTTCTCATCCATACATGATACTTACTAATTATTTCATTTATTTCAGAGACAATCTCAAAAACCAGGCAGCAATGAGTGTAAGCTGACTGAGCCCACAGCTTTTAAATTAAGCGGGCAGCGGGAGGGCAACCTCTCACTGTATTTAATACACAAAACAGAAATCCAAAACACTTACCAATCTTTACTTGCTCGGGCTGGCTAAGGGAAACAAATGCTGATATGTCATCAATCCAGGATATCTGAATGTTACCTGCAATCGCAAATTAAAACTAAAGTGAATATTTGTCCATGTGGAGAGCTATCAGATTTATTGTGCATATCTTATATATTTCAGTATAGTCTATCTTTAAAGAGAGAGAAGGTGCTTATTTAAAACATGATCAAAATCTCAGCACTATAGAGAGTTAGCCTGTTTAAAGGCTACCACAGCAGTTATTTAGGTTAAAACTTCAAGAGAAGAGACAAACCAGTGGGAAAAGAAGCAATTAGAAATTTAACACAATAGAAAGATCCTTCCAGATTAAACCCTGGGGCTTGTCATCATTCAGTGCAATACCAGGATTGGAGACTTATTTACCTATCAAGACCACTAACAAAAATCAGAGACCAATAGGTTCAAAAACACAACTTTTTTTTTTTTGAGACCCAGGTGAGTGTCACCCTGTCGCCCAAGCTGGAGTGCAGGGGCGCAATCTCAGTTCACTGCAACCTCTGCCTCCTAGTTCAAGCAATCCTCGCACCCCAGTGTCCCAAGTAGCTGTGACTACAGGCACACACCACCATGCTTACACATAATCTTGTTGAAAACAGTGTTAGAGGCCAGGCGCAGTGACTCATGCCTGTAATCCCAGCACTTTGTAAGGCCGCGGTGGGAGGATCACCAGATGTCGGGAGTTTGAGATCAGCCTGACGAACATGGAGAAACCCCATCTCTACTAAAAATACAAAACTAGCTGGACGTGGTAGCATGTGCCTGTAATCCCAGCTACTCAGGAGGCTAAGGCAGGAGAATCGCTTGAACCCGGGAGGCAGAGGTTGAGGTGAGCTGAGATCGCACCATTGCACTCTAGCCTGGGCAACAAGAGCGAAACTCTGTCTCAAATAATAATAATAATAATAGTGTTAGTACTTAAATTAACTTTGTATGCCTTAATGTTCGTTCTGACTTATTTTAAATATTTACATTCAGAAATGGTATGCCGTATTATCAGTGTAGAAGGCTCTGCTGTGAAAGTCTACTATTCTAAAATATCAATTTAAAATAAAGATAAGAAAAAAATACATCGGGCTCAGTGGCTCATGCCCGTAATTCCAGCAGTTTGGGAGTCCGAGGCAGGAGGATCACTTGAGCCCAAGACTTCAAGGCCAGCCTGGGCTACATGGCAAGACCCCATTTTTATTTTTTTTTAAATAAAAAATTAAATTAAATTTTTAAAAAATGAAAAATGATGTTAGTTATATGGGAGGCCTACTTTGTATCTGCTTTTTACTTTAAACGTTAAAATACAAGCACTTTAACTACTTTTAACAAACTCTTCAAATATTTTTTAAATGGCTACACACTAGAAGATACATAAATATTTACTAAACTTTTTTACTACTGGACATTTAGGTCTTGTGGCCTTCACTTTATCCAAGAATTTCCAGAGAGTAGCTTAAATGCTTCGTTTGTTAAAGTAAGAGAGGTATTGCTGTGGGTTTACAATCAGAACGGTTTTCATAAACACGTATCAGGAGACTGCTCAAACGAACCTAATCACATGACCTGGTAAAAAAGGAAAGAGAAGGACTGCCCTACATCACACACGTATCACAATTCCTGATCTACCCAAACATCTGTCACTTTGATTAATCTAAAGCAGAGATGACCTCCCCTCCCATTATGAAACATACAAGCCCTCTGAGTTTAATCTTAAAAATTATTTACGCTCAGCCACAGGTTATTTTCCCCGGTCAGTAGTAAGGGCAGTCATCATCATGGTGTTTTGCTTTCCATGAATTAATAGCTCTGTATTGTGAGGTGCTATTAAAAGTTTCTCAGATCACATTAGCACAAAGATAACAGTATCCTAAACCAGAAAATTCAAAGAGTGAAATTAAAACCTTGAATATTAACATTCTTTTATTCCCAGGCCAAAACTGTCTTTCTACTTCTGACCACCTATACCAAATGAATAGCAAAACCCTAAAAGGTACATCTGAACTTGTGACTTACCAAAGGCACTGAAAAGCTGGTAAAGGTCGCTGGTTTTCCATTCTTTGGGGAACGTCACATGCAGAACATGATCACGCTTAGGCTGCACTATAAGACAAATTTATGATGAAATGTTGATGTGAAAAGTGATCAAGTAAACCAGTGGTTCTTTGATGAAATTAAGTCTAAGCTAATATGCAGAACTGTTATGAATTCCTCATGATTACCAAACAACTCCTGAAAGTATGCCTAGGATTGGTAGGATTCTGCCATGGTAATCTAGACCTTAGGTTCTGATACATTAGAGAACCCACAACAAACTGAACCCTATGCAAAGACATCTTCTCTTCTCATGAAGTTCCTGTGCAAATTATGTTCATTTTTAAAATTTTATATATATATATATTTTTTTTTTTTTTTTTTTTTTGAGACAGGGTTTGCCCTGTCATCCAGGCTAGAGTGCAGTGGCACGGTAATAGCTCACTGTAGCCTCAAACTCCTGGGCTCAAGTTATCCTCCCACCTCAACCTCCTGGGCAGCTGAGGCTACAGGTGCATGCCACCATGCCTGGCTAATTTTTTTATCCTTTAATTTTATTTTTCTAGAGATGGGGGTCTCACTATGTTGCCCAGGCTGGTCTCGAATTCCTGGCCTCAAGTGATCCTCCCACCTCGGTCTCCAAAAGTGCTGGAATTACAGGCATGAACCACCACACCCAACTGTGCAAATTATTTAGAAGAAAAACCAGGCTGCTCTGTTCATGAAGTTTCACTTCACTAAACATTTAACTTTCCCATTTTAATATACTTAGCTAAAAAAAAAAAAAAAAAAGCACTGTCCAAATTAAATGGACTATTTGTTAAGTAAGGCAATCCTGAGTCATAATCTTGTTTTCTAATCCCAAACCTAGAACTTTTCTGTGCAGCCCTAAGCAAGAGACCTAATCACTCTAACCACCCTGGACTATAAACTGGGAATGGCGATATTTAGCATCAGAATTCTTGTGAGAATGACAGACCAAAATATTAGTCTAACATGGAGGGCAACACAACAGTATGTCCTCAAACTATCATTGCAACAATTATTATCACCAAGTATAGTTCACCCACTTCTACCTGCCAATGACATGCATTAAGGTAAAAAAGAACAAATGAAACAGCAGAAAAAAAGCAGAGGAAAAGAAAAAGCAACTACCTCCCATAGACCCTCCATGTTTTTTAAATAAAAAAACAAAACAAAACAAAAATCAACCTACTAAATTCAAATATATACACACTCAAGTAATTGGAAAATAGAAATTTTACCAAGATAACTGATAGCTAGCTTATCTTAAAAATATACGATAAATACTTATAAAAAATGATGAAATCAGAATTCTGCGTGAAAATGAAATATATAGAGAAGATATGTATGTTTTTAAAATTCAATTCATGCATAAACTGGAAAATATAAGTGAAGTGATGACTAATGAATGCCCAAGAGTCCCATTAACTTAAGCATACTATTCATATCAACCACAAAATCACTACCCAATTTTAAGTGAAGAAAGCTTTTTCTTTAGTAATATTTTCCTGTTATCCCTTCCAGACCACATATTTAAATGCACAGATGCAATAAGAAAATAAAAATTTACTTACAGTCTGGTCCTTCCAAGTTTAGATAGGGGATATCCATGACCCTCATAAGAAATAACCTACATGAAAAGACCAACAGGTAATGGGCAATTTCCTTTAAACGATAGGTGTTTTGACATTTTTAAGGTTGAATTAGAAAAAAAAAAAATTGTTTAATAAGCATTTACTAAATTTTTTAGTAGAAGCTCCTTGATATCACTCTATTTGTAAAATCATTTCTATTGGTTTTTTTTTTTTTTGAGATGGAGCCTCACTCTGCCGCCCAGGCTGGCGTGCAGTGGTGTCATCTTGGCTCACTGCAACCTCTTCCCCAGTTAAGTGATTCTCCTGCCTCAACCTCCTGAGTAGCTGGGATTACAGGCATGTGCCACCATGCCTGACTAATTTTTGTACTTTTAGTACAAACAGGGTTTCACCATGTTGGCCAGGCTCGTCACGAACTCCTGGTCTCAAGTGATCTACCTGCCTCTGCCTCCCAAAGGCCGCCTGGATTGACAAGGCATGAGCCACCAACCGCTTTTATTATTAATTATTATTTATTATTATTTTGAGACGGAGTCTCATTCTCGCTCCATCGCCAGGTTGGAATGCAGTGCACAACTTGCCTCACATGCAACCTCTGCCTCCCAGGTCCAGCGATTGCCGCCACCTCAGCTCCTAGTTGCCGGAAACTGTACAGGCGCGGGCCACCACGCCCGCTTAATTTTTTGTATTTTTAGTACAGATCTGGGTTCCGATGTTTTTTGACCAGCCTAGCTCGAAACTTCCTGAACCTCTCAAGTGATCCACCTTGCCTACCCCCAAAGTGTTAACAATTACAGGCGGTGAGCCCCAACCGCACCAGCCATGTAAAAAATCATTTCTAAAGCTCTGAATTTTTTTTCAGAAGATTTTTCTCCTGGCCAAATATTATCACAAATAGAAAAAAACAAACAAAACAAACAAACAAACAAACAACTGGTATCCCAAAACAGTTTCCTTAGGCACTCAGTAGCTTGCTCAATAATTATTAGTTTAACTGAAACAAATTAATTATCAAAGAGTCAAGGGAAAAGTACTTCGCAGACTGCCCGTTAGTCTAGTCCAAGTAAACCACCGAAAGAAAATAAATATTACCATCTGTACCAATTCTAACGAACAAGTTGTTCTACAAATTCCTAAGGGTAACCCCTTACAATGGACACATTTTGTTGAACGGCAGAGGACAAGGAGAGACGTTCTTTTTTTTTTTTTTTAAAATGAAAATGCAAAGTACTGATAAATGCTAATCTCTCTGGTAACACCTCCAGTACAGTCCTGAAATAAGTGACTGTCCTCAAAGGGCACAATCATTAATTTCCCATTTAAAGAGCACAACCGAACAAAAGCCACAAAACAAAACAATCCTTGGTAAAGAAAACTATCACACCTAAACTAATAAAATCATAGCAGCTCCATTTTATTGTTATCTCCAAATGGGTGCAAAAGGCACTTAAAAAAGTGCTTGTAAATTACAACCTCTTCTGTAATGCCATTTCAAATTCTTTTATTGCAAGATTATGGGACAAAAATATCAGGCATTCCTGTTTTGGAAGACTTGATTTAATGCGAGTTTTACTTTAGAAAACAATATATTAATTGCATTTCTGGTTAGGAGACAAACATTATACAGCAAATTAAAAAGGCAATCTATGTGGCTCCAAGAAGCAGATTAGTTTGCTTCACTGCCCCGCAATTAGAGGGAACATAATTACGAGGCATCTAAAGCCCAAGCAAGACCAGTCAAATGCACGCCTGGTAATCCCAGAGCACTTGGAGGCCAAAGGTGGGTGGATCCCTGAGGGGGGGGAGTCAGAAGTTGTCAAGACCCACGCACGCCCAACCAACATGGTGAAATCCCGTCTCTACTAAAAATACAAAAATTAGCTGGGCGTGGTGGTGGGCACCTGTAATCCCAGCTACTCAGGAGGCTGAGGCAGGAGAATCGCCTGAACCCTGGAAGTGGAGGTTGCAGTGAACTGAGATAACAACACTGCACTCCAGCCTGGGCAACAAGAGTAAAATTCTGTCTCAAAAAAAAAAAAAAAAAAAGCCAAGCAGGGCAAAAGCTACTTTACAAATCGAACCATCAGCATGAACAATACTGTTCTGTTAATGTCAAAAAAAAACGAAGTCATGGTACTCTGTGGTTTGAGAATTTGTTGTCTGCCCTACAGTTTAATAAACCAAATGCTATGGCTAAGAAACCAAATTTATTTTTAGTTTGCTAATTTAGGCTCAAGTGTACTATTCTGGTTTTGTAAGCTGTTTTAACCAATTTAATCAATACTCCCTGCAATGCCAGAAGACAAGAAGACACATAATAGCACCTAGCATGGCAGGTTCTCAGTGAGGGCAGCTATCATTTTTTCTTAAATATTATTTTCCAGCATAAACGATACACACTGGAACTATCATTATTATCGCCTACCAGAACCTAATAATAACAAAAGTTATTCCTAGGTTAGTAAGCTAGTTAATTAGGTAAGCTAACTAACCTAGGAATGACTTTTGTTATTGTTAGTCATGCTTCATATAATTCTCAGTTCTCCATTTAGTAAATTTAGAAATAGTCTCCAATTTTAAACACCAAATTTATTTTAAAAGTTAATGAAGGCCGGGCACACTGGCTCATGTCTGTAATCCCAGCACTTTACGAGGCCAAGGCAGGCAGATTACCTGAGGTCAGGAGTTTGAGACCAGCCTGGCCAACTATGGTAAAACCCTGTCTCTACTAAAAATACAAAAAACTAGCAGGCGTGGTGGCGGGCACCTGTAATCCCAGCTACTTGGGAGGCTGAGATAGGAGAATCACTTGAACCCAGGAGGCAGAAGTTGCAGTGAGCCGAGATTGCGCCATTGCACTCCAGCCTGGCAACAGAGCGAGACTCCGTCTCAAAGAAAAATAAAAAGTTAATGAAATGTATCAAGCACCACAAAAATAACTGAGAACAAAAGTTGAATCAACAAAATGTTCACTGCTATACCATCAAATATGCCAAAAATCAAAATCAACCTCAGGATTTGATAATACATGGATGTCAATAAATTGTAGTTCAAAATTTCAATATATTAAAAGCAATCAAAATAACTATGAAAATGTCAAAACATGGATAACTTATAATTTTAAGTTTTAAAAAGGCACAAAATTTTATACTATGATTTTACCTTTATAAAATATTGATGTCATTAAGTCAAGAATAAAAAAATACCCTCCCTTCCCCCGCCAACAGCTTTGAGAAACTCTGAGCTTTGTTTCTCAAAATTCCTTTTATGATCATTTTTTAAAGTTTAAAGGCTAACAGAACTGAGAAGCCCAGGGGAAATAACTAGAGACTTTCTTAGAAAAAGCCAACTGAAAATGCCGTTTGAATTAATCTTTCATATACTATGCACTACCTCACCTGGCGGGAGGGAGAAAAATCTAAATATAAAAATATAAATATAAAACCATAAGCTTGAATTGGCAATTCCTGTATTTCTGTTTACAATTCTGTTATATTGCTAAAGTCATGGGACCTCAACAACCAATTTAGGAAACTCAATGTTGTACAAATACCAAGGAGGATTATACTAACAAAGAAAAAGAAGGCTCTCCCAATTTCTCTTACCATTTAGATGTTTTTAAAACATTTTTTTGAAAAATATTTTTTGTCAAGTAATATATAGGCTATGTGTTCTGTAATATTTCACCTGAATTTTCAATATTATCCAATTAAAGTAAGCAAAAATTTATTCTCAGCTAAAACACTCAAAATATTTTTTTATTTTTAATTTTTATGAGTACATAGTAGATGTATATATTTATGGGGTACATGAGACGTTTGGATACAGGCATGCAATGTGAAATAAGCACATCATGGAGAATGAGGTGTCCATCCCCTCAAGCATTTATCCTTTCAGTTACAAACGATCCAACACCACTCTATTTTAAAATGTACAATTAAGTTATTACTGACTATAGTCACCCTGTTGCGCTATCAAATAGTAGGTCTTATTCATTCTATTTTTTTGTACCCATAAAAGCTATTTTTTAATGTAGTCAATCCTACACTATCTTGTTTGTTCACTCCACATTACCTTACACAGAAACCCCTTTCAAATGAATTATTAATAGCACTTCTCACTCTTCTCCTATACCTCCACCTTCACATCTGGGGTTTACAGGGAACTGAATAGCTCCAAAGCTAGGAAGAACACGAAAACCAACTCTGTGTGACTTGGCAGACTGCGGCTCTGGAGAGCGCCACACAATTGTGAAACTGACTCTAAAACTGTGGCTGAGCGTCTGCGGAACTGAACCAAAGTAAACTCTCCCAACGGCCTCCCACCGTCCTTATGCCATGCTGTTTCGAAGCCACTGCTCTGGTAACATCTCTGCCCTTCTGAAGTAAAATTAAAACATTTCAATGTAGGCATGCCTCATCCCAGCTGGCTGTCAAAGGGCCTGCACTGACTCCCTGGAATGATTTGATAAAATACTTCACATATGCATCATCCAACTTGACAGTTTTCATCCTAGCATATGAGGAAATGTACTAGGCAAGCAGAAATGCTGATAAAGACATGAAAGGATGTTCCATCACTGTGAACTGTATTGAAGAACAATCTCTCCCAGAAGGACTTTCATCTGCCAGATATCAAAAAGACACTGACTAACACTTGCATGAAACATTCTTTCTATTTTAGTGAATATCCGAGAGGGTGTAACACGGTAAAGACCCTCAAGACTGCGTGCGGGAGTCTTGCCACATTTCTGAAAGCTTTCTGATGAAATATTATTTCCCCACTTATTCTCTAGAAGACTGACATTAACTCTATCAAACACGAAAATTAAAATTCCCATTAGATACAATGGCTAATTTTACAAAAGAATTCTATCCTAAGAAACAATGTGACTCAAGTTCACATTCTAGATGCCATAGAGCAAGTTTTATCCTTTGTGGAATCTGTCATTTTTAAAATGTTGTACGAGTATATCACTGGCAGTGCTGGTTATCCTGACTTTCAAACAAGTCTGGAAAGACTCCAGAGTAAAGCA